CCTCACTGATTTAGACATGGGCGAAAGCAGTGCTGCCTATGGATTTTTGGGCTTAAATGGATTTAGGAAACCAAGGCCCAACATCTTCAACAACAAAGAAAAAACTATCAGAATTATTCAACTTTAGAGAGGGCTGTATAGACTGGATGTCTTCATCTTTGGAGCCTGAGCAGGGAAACGAGATGAAGATGACAGAGGACTTCAACCAGATTATGTTCTTGTATCACTCAGGTGGGTTACAATAGTGTTGTGGTACTCAAGACCAGTCTTAAGACCACTTTCTGATGGTCTTGGTCTCATCTCAGACCGCATTTGTACTCTGTCCTGTCTCGGTCTTGGACATTGAGGACTCAGGATTTTATTTCGACAAGACCAGTCAAGACCACAACTGTGTGAATATCACTAAATTACCAGAATATTGACCAATTTATTTATTAACATCTTTGCTTTCATTGGATGGAAAACGTACTGATTCAAATCCAAACCAGACTTATTGCTAATTGTCACCCATCCCCACCCCTTTCACTCATATATGGCGCTCCAAGAAAGTGAGGAGAGATCGTTTGGGAGCGGGAGAAGATGTCTGCAAAATCTTTAGTAATATAATTCAGCTGTATAAATCATAAATAACATCTGTAAAACAACATCCAGGATAAAGCAAACAGAGACTTGTAAATTGTGCAGTGCTTCACTTTCAGAGATGGTGGGAACTACGACAAACTTGAATCATCACTTAAAAAAGAGGCACATGGAAAGGTAAGCTATGATTTAGCAAAGCGAGGTATCTAGCTAACATTAGCAATCTGCATCTGTTTAATCAGCCCTCACAGAAAGAGTTTTAGTCAATATTAGATATACATATTGTTAGCTGTGTACAGTATATGTTATAGGGCACTAGTTTCCTGTTTTTTCCTGGTCTTGACTTGGTCGCATCTCCTAAAAGTCTTGGTCTAGCGTTGATCTTGATACRCTTTGGTTTTGATTTAGTTACTTGGTCTTGGCTACAACACTAGATAACAGGACACAAAATCTCTTTAAGAGTCCATCTGATCAGACTGATGGCAAATAAAGTACTACCTATTGATAACTGTTCAATAGAACATCACTTCAAAATAACCAGAATTTCCTTCTTAAGCCTTCCCTCGGTTTATGTGTTGAGGCTGGCTTTATCCATCGAGCTTCATCTGTGAGCCCCAGAAAGACAAATAAAAAGCTGAACTAATTGCTGTGGATCCCCTGGATACTAGATCAGCCTCATTGAGGAGCATGACAGCAAGAAATCAAACCGAGCAGAAAGCYTCCATGAATCACGTCTGCATCACGCCAACGAAGGCTGTGGCGTTAGTGGATGAGGAATAATCATTGGGGAGGCAGTCCAAATTAATACTTCAGCTGAGGCCGACTCGTTCTTCGTCATTAGGGCACATTACAGGGCCACAATATACATCATTAAACCAGGCATAAACAATTCATTAAAAGGCCGTTAAGAAGACAAGCTAATGTCACTTCTCCCTGTGGTATTAATAGACTGTAAAATGGCAGAGGGTTAAGGCAAAAAGGATCATTCTGCAACAACTATCCAGTCACTCATCCTGACTAATGGCTAGTTGCTGCAAATTTATTAGCAGAGTCGTTTATTTTCYCACCAATCTACTCCTGAAGCTGCGCCATGATACAGAGACAGAATTCACATTTGTTTTGGCAGTGATGGTGTAATTCTCACTGAAGCTAAAGAATGGGGGGAAATTTAATATGAGCGAGTTAATGCCTTTGCAGCCACTTTGTTCAGATTAACTCTAATATCTGTGATTAAGATGTAATTGTGAGGATTAAGGAAGTCATGCCGCATCAGTCATCGGCTTTCAGTTTATTTAAAGCTTTGATGAGAGCGAAGCACCCATCCTGTTTATACACAAAGGGGGTTTTATTGCAGCTAGCAAAAAAATGACTGTAAGAACAAACTGCTCTATTGGTCAAATATCACAACTGATGTTTGTACAAGATTTTAAAAAGGTTGGAACTCTGCATAACATGTACATAAAAACAGATTACAMTGATTTGGAAATGCTSTAAAYCTTATTCACSKTTGAACACAATAAACATGTTAAATATTTAAGTTATTGCAACGTTTTAGAGTAATTTTGAAGYTTAACAAATCTCAAAAAGGTTAGGACGTGGGCAACAAAAAGCTGTAAAAATTGGTGCCATTCTTGTGCCTTTTAAATTTCCTCTAACTATTTAGGATTAGCAGAACCTCATTAATATAAAAACAACTATTTAAATTTTATTTAAAAGTAAAAAGAATACTTAAAATCTACCCCCTTGAATAATAACTGGTCTGAAAGCAGCATCGTCAACATTAGGATGCAGGCTCTGAGGAGGTAATAAAATAAATGTAGGACAGTACAAGCTCCTGTAAGTTGAGCAGTGACAGAGCTTCTCAGTAAGTAATGTCAACAGTAAAATAAATAAAGCAGACTTTATACCAAAATACAAAATTGTATTGTACTTGAAGGAAAAATTGGACACTCAGGTGAAGAGAGGGGCGGAGCTGTGAACTGACCACCACTACCTCGTGGTGAGTTGGMTCCAATGGTGCCGTAGTGAGGGTCTGCTGGGAACGTCTGTCAGAGTCTCCCGTCAGACTGAGCTTCAACTCACACCTYTGGGAGAACTTTGAAYACRTTCTGGGGKAGGTGGGGGACATTGAGTCAGAGTGGGCCATGTTCCGTGCCTCCATTGTCGAGACAGTTTACCTGAGCTGTGKCCKTAAGGATGTCGGTGCCTGTCGTGGCGGCAACCCTCGAACCCGCTGGTGGACACCRGCGGTGAGGGATGCTGTCAGGCTGAAGGAGGAGTTCTATTGGGTCTTTTTGGCCTGTGGGACTCCGGAAGCAGACGATAGGTATCGGCAATCCAAGCGAATTGCAGCTCGGGTGGTCGCTGAGGCAAAAACTGGGCCGTGGGAGGAGTTTGGAGAGGCCATGGAAAAAGACTTCCGTATGGCTTGAGGCGATTCTGGTCAACCATCCGGCGTCTCGTGGAGGGGGGGCACCACCATCCCTGTTCATGGTGGGGATGGTGCGCTGCTGACCTCAACTCGGGACATTGTGGGTCGGTGGGCAGAATACTTTGAAGACCTCCTCAATCCCACCAGCACATCTTCCAATGWGGAAGCAGAGCCTGGGGACCCTGGATCAGACTCTGGTRCTGAGGTCACTGAAGTTGTTAAAAAGCTTATCCATGCTAGTCTCATRGAATTTAATAAAATGCTTTTAAAATGACAGGGAAATGCATTTTGACATAATTATTATTTTATAGTCTATGCCACCAGGAATCTGCATAGCCAGGGACCCTCCCTCTCCTGCACRTATTTCACTCAACCTTGATGGTCCTTCCCACAGGTGGTGGGTCCACGTGGAGGCGGCCTCCTGCTGTCCTTTCAGGCTTGGCCCAGTCGAGCCGCAGGCCTGGAGCCAAGGCTCGACCACCGCGAGATCCAGGCCTGACTCCAGGGAGGTGCCCTGGTTTCCCTTTTCTGGGCRAGGTTTCCTGATATGGTTGCTCTTCCATTTCATCAAGCGGTTTTGAATTGCTCTTAGTCTGACCTCTCCCCCGAGGTCTGTTTGCCATGGGAAACCTTACCAGGGGCTAATGCCCCAGATATAGACCCCTGAATCATGGGGGTACTCAAACCCCTCCACCACGTTAAGGCGGTGATTCTGCAGAGGGGAAAAAGGTTGGAATGAAGGCTCCGATCGATCGACAAACCTTGGGTTCAAGAGGAGCAGTGTAGCTTCCTTACTGGCCGTGGAACAGTGGACCAGATCTTTACCCTTGCAGAGTTGCTAAGGGAGTCGTGGCAGTTTGTCTCTCCAGTCTACATGCGTTTTGTGTACCCGGAGAAGACTTAGGACTTTGTTTCTTGAGGCATTCTGTGGGGGTGCTGCAGGAGTGTCTGGGTTGATATTAAAAGCACTCCAGTCCMTGGAGAACCAAAGRAGGAGCTGTGTCCACATTCTCCATCAGGGCTGCCCTCGTCTCTGATCCTGTTTGTAGTGTTTATGGACAGGATCTCACGATGCAGTCGAGGAATGGAGRGTGTGAGGTTTGGGAACCACAGAGTCTYGTCTCTATGCAGATGATGTGGTTCTGCAGGCATCTTCAGGCCAAGACCTTCAGTGTGGACTGGGGTGCTTTGCAGCGCAGTGTGAAGTGGCTATGATGAAAATCAGTTCTTCAGGACAACTGGACACAGAGGCCTCCTCCACCAATTAAATGATGGCCGTTTTTTCTTCACAAAATGGTTTCCTTTACTCCTCTCCCTAACCAACGTTCCTATCAAGGATGATAACCTCTTAAGAGGACGCCCATCCCACTTATATTATTAGTGTCACTCTGGTGCAAAAATTTAAAAATTCTTTTTTTATTATTACTTTTCCTCATCTCATTTTGGCTAAATTTTTCTAGGAGTTACAGACCCCTGATCTAAAAATAAATATTTGTTGCATACATTGTTCTCACTTTACTGCTGTAGTAATTACTTAAGTTCCAGTAATTTATAAAAATCTGATGATAAAAGATTTTTGAGGTTGAAAAAATTGTGATGAGTCTTTCTTGTGCCTTCAATAAATAAAGGTTAAAATAAGGTTAATTATTTTTTTTATTTTACCGTTATTTATCCAGGCAAATCCCATTGAGATCGCAGATCTCTTTTTCATGTGCAGCCTGGGCCTGAAGGCAACCTACTGTACATGGGTTTTTTTTTTTTGTTTTTTTTGTTTTTTTTTTTGTGGGGGTGGGGGAAACCGGAGTACCCGGAGAAAACCCACGCAAGCATGAGGAGAACRTGCAAACTCCACACAGAAAGACCCCAGGTTCGAACCGGGGATCGAACCCAGGACCTTCTTGCTGTGAGGTGTCAGTGCTAACCACTGAGCCATAGTGCTAAAATGTAGTTACAACTGAACAAAAAGAACATCAATTTAGAAAAAGAATCATTCAATATTTTAAAAGTTTTTAATCAAACTTGTAATAAAATAGGAAAATCAATAACTGGAAGCAGGAAATCTGTAATTGCTGTTGCTCACCTACATTTTAAAAGGTACAGTAGATTTAAAAAAGCTCCTCAACTTCAGCTGCATATGTTGCGTAACACCTTTAAACCAAATATACAAAGGACCTCAAACAGCTCAGCATCATTACAGGGGAAACAAAGCAAAACAGGACTGAACATTACCATTTCTGCAGCCACAGTCACAATTCACAGGGAGGTGAAAATAAATAGTTTGCATAATAATTCACATGGCTGATATACAATATATGGCAAATTACTGTGAATTCCTTTGGTTAAAGAACCTTAAAAGCAAAGCGCTTCACTACAGTCTACACTGCTTGGACATCACAGCACATTCAAACAAGAGTATAAGGCACAAATATTTACTAGAGGGGAAAAAAAGTTTTCTTGCAAAAATCAAAAACCTTTTCAAATTATTCTGCCACAATGACACTGTGGCCTCATGTAGCAGAAATAAATAATCAGAAACTGCTATATACAATTACTGCAGCATTCAAAACCTACAAAGATCTTTAATTTTAAGTTGTATTAGTATAACTGATTGTATTCAAGAGAAATCTGAGTCTGGTGTAAGTTTTAATAAAAACCACAGTTGTTGCTCATTACTGGAGTCAAGCATTTGTTCTACAATAATTAAAACATAATAATATTACCTATAATGATGTTGATACATGTAACAGTGTTAATAACCCCTGAGTTGGAGAATCATAATGATGTTTTAACACTGTCTTGTTTTAACAGACCATTCTCCGTTTACATTTAGACACTCTTAGTGCTCCAGAGCTCCTCCTTCTGCTTTATTCTAGTGGGAACWAAAGGAAATGTATCACAGGACCAAAAAAATATTATTACCTCTGGGTTCTTTTCTTAAAGGACAACACAATTCTCTCACTTCGACAGAAAACAGGTAATAAACTAAATCATCCAATCTAAACAGATCATTTCTGTTTTCCACCATGAACTGTGGCCTGGTCGATGTTGAAGCTTCTGATCAAACAAAACTCTCATGAACTTAAAACAATTCTGAGACAAACCTGGACCTGATGAGCTTCTCCACCTACATTAATCCAACAAAACTCTTCAACACAAGTATAATTAATTAAACCAAATTATCTTATTTGCCTAAAGTATTTGAAATGTGGAGACACTCAACTGCAACATAAACACCAACATACTGGATTAATAAAATATTTAAAGCAGAAATGATCCATAAGATCAGTTTTTTTTCTGTTACAGTAGCATATTTGGCTTATGGAAACTTGTTTCTTTTTTGTTTTTCTAATCTAAATTGTTCTAAATTAATGCTACTAGATGCTTCAGGTAGCGTCTCACTGGGCTGTGAGTGTCGGAGACTCAAACTTGATACACYAAGAAAAAAGACAAATTTTTCTTTGCAGTTTCACTGAACTCGGTGTTTGTGACAAAGCGTCTGGAGCCCGTGTGGAAACATTTTGGGTGTCCAAAATTTAAAAATCATGACTTTTTTTTATGTGTGCAGAACTTGCAAAACTSTAGGTCAATGTTTTCATTGACGTCTATATACCTGACTCCCATTTTTATCTACTGGAGCACACTTTAAAATAAAAATATGCAGATTTGGATATTTTGAATTGTATTTTTTTAATAATAAATATTTACCATCTGCCAGGTTATTAAATTTGGACATGTTTTCTTTGTCAAAATACAGCTCTTTCCCTCTTGAAACGCCTACATCGACTCAACTATTATAAGTCAATTTGTCACCTTTTTTTAACATTTTGCTTGAGTTTTCAACATAAACTGCATCTGCAACTCAAGGGAGAAAATTGGGACCCCTTGTGAAGGCTGTTTGCCAACTAGTCACCAGGATTTATGGTCCAGGAAGACACTGCCTTTAGTTTTACATTTACAACACATTTAAAACTAAAAACAAATGTTTTTTCTTCACCTTTTACAATATAAATAGTTTCATACTATCAGTGCATATCTTTTTCTTTTCTTTTTTTACATGACATCCTTGTGTTTGAGTCTGCAGCTTGTTACACCACAAATGAGCATGTTCGCATTAAAGCTAAAGCTGTATAGAAGTGCCTCCCTTTGATTTCACCTTTTAAACCTAAAATGTCTTTGGGGACAAAAGGAGCACCTCTGATCTTTTAATTCTAACCAAACAGACTGGATGCTGACACATGTCATCAGAATGACACTCATCTGTACTCTCAGAGTTTAAAAATAAACCACTCTTATTTCTCAAAATTTAAAAAATAAAAATAAAAAAACTTCATATTCTTTACAACTTATTTTGATTATAAGTATTTCAAGAACTTTCCAGGCCAGTTCAGTATAACTTACATGAGATGGTTCCTGAATGTGGGAATCATGACTTCCGTTTTGGGGCCAATTAACTGCAGACAAGACAGTATTATAAAAAAAAAAAAACTGACACAAAGTGTCTTTCTATCAGTTTGATGTGTGATATAATCAGCTCTTAGAAGTGTATGAGCTTACAACAGGGTTCTCTCCATCCCTTATTATCTACTATCTCCTCGTGTTAACAAAGACATAAAAACGCAAAATATATAATTTAATTTTCAAAAAATAGTGTCAAGTGAAAAATGACATTTGTCTATTGTGTTTTATCTCAAGTTGGTGCTTGAATAAATGTAAAAAATTTCCTTAAGGACGTATGACCCCTAAAGATGCATGACTGTGTTAAAACTAGCAATGTTTTTTTTAGTGTTCCATTAATTTTGTAATACTCTCTAAACAATAAGAGTGGAATGTTTTTAAAGCCTGTGAAAAGAAATAACCTGTTCCATGTTTTAACAAGGCACTAAGAAAGGCCCTAATGCACCTACAACAGGAAAAGGTACGTTTCACACTTGTGATGTTCTTTCGTGTTCTTTTACCACAGGATCACACCCAGATGTTGCTTTGTTTGTGTGGTGCATCTTTAATGAAGGCAAAGATTTTTGTCATGTGTTGTTTGGCAATAAAAACTGTAAATGATGTTTAATATTCAAAAAATCCTGTACAGCAGCTTTACAGGAATGTCCCTGACTTTACGTCACCACTAGATAACAACAAAATCTGTGCTGAACACTGTGGAGACTAGGAATCTTTAGTCGTTTGTGTTCAGCCTGTAAAACAATCTGAAAACCCTCACCTCACAGTCCCTGCGCATTGTTTACCGACAGCTCAGAGAGGATCTCATTTGTGATGCGAGCAAAGGCAGGTAAACAATCTCCTGCAGCATGTGACCTGCCCCTGACTCGTTACAGAGCCGGATGTGGCGGCCAGCCTCCCTCTCAACAGGATACCTCAGGGTGGAGAACAGTGAAAGGATGGTGGGGGTCACTGAGTGAAACTTTTCTTGATGGCCACTTTGGGGAAGAGGCCGGACAGTTCTTGGACGACCCGCGTGTCTAACTGTGAGCAGAAGGACACATCCAGGAGGACGAGCCGAGGACACGACTGGAGGAGTTTCTTGAGCGAGGCGAGGCTCACCAGCCGCGTACCTGTCCACAAGAGAAATGTTAACCATGGGGTGTGAACACACGAAGCAAATAGAAATAGAAATTAAACAAAGGATTCAGATTTTATGTTCTTGTCAATTTTATTCACAGGACCACAACTCAAATTGTAGTAAAAGAAATTTTGTTTTTGTGGATATAAAAAAAACTAAAGCAACACAGCATTTGATTTTCTGAAAACAATTACTACTACTGGTTGTCCTCAAAACATTTTGGTTGTCCAAAAAATATCTCAATAAAAATATAATTTAATAAGTAGGCTATATTGTTGTGTATACAAAGTGTAATATATACAAATGTTCTCAGTCAGCAGGTTGACAGTTTTAGGAGCAGCTTGAGGAGAACTTCCTTGTTCTCCTCCGCATCCTCTTCTTTGAAATAGAGATAAAATCTACATCCAACATCCATTAGCTTTCTGCTTACAGGTCAAACATTTTTATTTAAATAGGAGTAAACTGTGTACTTATTAAAAGTTACAGTTTAGTGTTCTTAGAACAGAAGACTTTCTGAGGAAATACGTTTTTAAACATCTTTTCTATAATTTTAATGTTTTCAACTGAGGAGCTTTGATATATTTATGTAAAATAAATTATAGCAGAGGAAGTTCTCTGCACAGAAAAAAAATATTTACTGTTTTTTTTAACCAAACTAACAAGTTTCTCCAGTAAAATTATTGTGTAATTTAAAGGCATTGAAACACCTGGTTAAATTTAGAAGGTATTATGATTAACTACAAGCATCTGAAGCTGACTCAGAGAACTCTGTGATTTTAGAAAAAATAAAAGTCAAATGTAAACACGCCTTTAAAAGACCCTCCTCCTCCCCACCACCCCGCGCAGCTGCGGTCAGCGCATCTCTACTCCACCCGCTTGATTAATACTGATTTTTTGCGCAAATTACAAATTTTTGATGCTCATTATACACGTTAAACRTCTGAAGGAGTTGACATGTATGAACTCCTGGGCTGGTCAGAGCTGAGCTGCAGSTGGACAGGTTTGCTGCCCTTCGCTTTAAAAACAGTCAGCTGATCCGTCGTGGTTTTGTTGCRCTCGTGACGTGAACACACAGGAGGAAATGCTGCGAGGAGCTTTTGTAAATATAAAATACGACGTAATCCTCGGTGGAAAATAGTCCAGGAAACGTGTGCGTTCCCGGGAGGTGTTCACCTGCAGCTGAATGAAGCTGAACCCCCACCCACAGAGAAAGGAAAAAAAGGCAGTAATTATTGATAAGGTAGTAACCATGCTGTGGCTTCACCTGTCACATTTTCTTTTAAAGAAAGAAAAATTAGCTTACAAAGCTGTCGCATCGGTGCAACGTGATTAAAAGCAGAGCTGCGCGTCTAATCTCGCATATCTTCCTATCTTTGTGAGGACCACACACAGCTCTCAGCCTCGCTCTGCGCCGTCTTTTTCCCCAAGTTTGGTGAGAGGTGGATATGGAGGGATGCAAAAATAGCTCTCGACTTGATCTGGCCTTATTTAAATAAAAATGACTACATGCCGTGAAATTCTTAGAGGGGCGGGCCGTCTCGTTGGTCGGGGGGGGCACCCCGCCTGTATAATGGTAGGGGAAACACTGAAGTCATCAACAAGAATGGTGGAGCTACTCATTACTGAGTCCTTTTTTTGACACTTTGATTTCTGTTTTGGGGGGTTTCGGGTTTTTTTGAGCTATGGTCTTAAACTTTTGATCAGCTGAAAAAAATCATGTTTGAGTGTAAATGCAGTTTTCAATTAATTCCCTGCTCAAAAGTTTGTGTCTCTTATGCTGATTTCTTCTTTTAACATTGTGAAGCTCTACTTAGAACCTTCTTAAGATCCAATAGTGCAAAATGAAAATTCTTGCACTTTTTTGACTGGTCTTAAGATTTTGATCAGAAGTGTATTTGTGAGGGCAAAAGACAGACATCCTAATGTGCACTTTAGACTATACCTCTTTGATGTGGTCTTTTATCTTTTAATATAATGACAGTCAGGAGAAAAGACTAGATCAGGCAGCTTATTATTCAGGAGCTTTTGCTTGTTTTTCCACACAGAATGCTTTCCTAAGAGGTTGGCTGCTTCAGGTCTTTGCTAGGAGCCAATTTTGCATCATAAACATCAGTAATTACAACTATGTAATGCGATGATGACTTTCATATAAAAAAAGAAAAATAGCAACATGTGTGTGGTAAGAGCATACCGAGTATGTCGAGATGCTGCAGCGAGGGGCAGCAGGCAGCCAGCTCCTCGACGTCTGAGTCACAGATGGTGCGGTTGGCCGTGAGGAAAAGCTTTCGAAGCCGTGGCAGGCTGCGGGCGAGCTGCTGGAAACAACCAGTGCTGCTCTGAAGCGTGGGGCACCAACCCAAGTCCAGCTCCTCCAACAACCTGAGCAGACGCAGGCAACGCAACAAACCAAATTCAGACCAGGAGTCACCTCGTGTGCTGCTTGTTGATGGTGGTCTACAGCAGCAACACTGAATCACTATAAACACAAATATTACACATCTAAAAATGTATTTGCTGTAGGAAATACTGCCCTTTGTTGTTTGTGTTTTCTAAAAGTGATAAATGCTCGTGTGCATCGACAAACACATGATGATCCCTGACGTCATTCCCCAGCTGCTCAGATCTGTAACCGGGACTGAACAGGCATTTACCCACCTGCAGCCAGAAACAAGCTCAGTCAGGCCTCGATCTGTCAGGTTTCTGCAGCGCCACAGGTCCAGAGAGCAGAGGGAGCGACAGCGAGCGGCCAGCATACTGGCTACAACATCATAATCCTCAATCTGCAGGAGAGACATTTTACTCTGATTACTCCCATCGGTGTGGGCCGTGTTTAAACCCAAGCTTTCTGGAGCATATCCATTTAAATAACGCAATCTACACCCCTATACAAATTGATTCATCTCTTCTGGTTTGTAAATTATCACTATACCTGCTTTTATAAAGAGGACAACAAATTCCAACGATTCTTTAATTACTACTTCAGTTGCTTTACTTTCCAAGAGGRCATGTTAAACTTTAGATTGCCAAACAGGACTGAGTCAATGACRTCATGAACAAGAATTAAATAATGATCGAGTTAGTCTGAAGTCAATTCTCTCAGTGTGTCTAGATTAGCTTTAACAAATTTAGAAAATGTTAATTAAAAAGTTGATTAATTCTTGCATCCCCAAACCTCAATTTCCCAAGCAAGGGAACAAAACACACACAGATAGAAGGGATCCTCTGTCAGGGTGTTATTGTTTCTTGACGGTGGGTAATATTGGCCATTTTTTGCTCTTTCATCCAGAGATGAAAGCAAGATTATGCCTTTAATACCTAAAGAGCCAGTGTRAGGGTCCTGGCCACAGAAAAATAAACTCCACACTGTTTTTTTTCCTCACAGTCTAAGAAAGATATTTAAACTAAAACTAAAGAAGATGAATGGATTTCTATACTGATGACAGTGATGATTACATGACAAGAGAATTATTTATCAGTCATGTGGTTGAGTTACAGACCAYCTTTGTCAGGGCTATTCAACTAAATTTCCCATTATTGGTAGGTGACACSCTGCAGTGTGTAAGTATTAGTATCTTTATTTTGTTGAACTGAATTAAACATTTTAAATTTACTATTGATTTGGAAACAAATTTTTGTATTAGATTAAATCCTATTTAAATGGCCCCCAAAATCTTTTTAGAGTAGGGCAGGGCYCCATTGGTGGGCCGGAGGGAAGTCACCAGCCTATAGGCCACCAGTTCAATAGTCCTGATCTATGTTAACTAAAGGGTGAGGTTAGAATGTGAGTCAAAAATCAGCCATTTCATCTCRTGATCAAATATCCAGTGTTTATTAAATGTATTTTTATAACTCTTTAATCCAGGATCCTACAATTTTACTGTTTAAGATTATGTRTTTGTATCTGTTTTGTTAGTTGTTTCTGTTGAAATGTAATTGTTTTTTGAACAATAAACCAGGCAGCAAATACAATAAAAATTACTTTGACTAAAACTGTCTCATTTACATGATGTGATTGTACTCATGTTTAAATAATGAAAATATGATCCTTTAAAAAAATAATAAATCCTTTAACAGAAAAATTGTGCGTAAGTGTTGGGTTGTTTTTTATTATTGTACATTATTTTTATCTGATTATTACCTTTCCTGTTATATTGAACACTTAGGTTGGTGAAAGTGTTTTAACACATGCATTACTCACTATTACAGTGCAGAGTACAGCATGCAGAAAAACTGATAGTGAAAATCAGGGATCACCCTTATTTAACATCAGACAGAAACCTGAAAACTGACTGCAGTCAGGAACACAAATATTATCCAGTGTTAAAACACGTTATGTTTGTTTTTTATTAAACGATTGCTATATTGAATGAAAAAAAAGTTAGGGACAGTTCAGTTTTACATTAATTTATAGAAGCTCCACTGTCAAATCTGTGAAAAATTAAAAAAATTAAAAAAATTATTTGGTCATCAATCTGTTTTTGTTAATATAAAAACTATTATTAGTCTGTTCAAAATTCAAACAAGGTAGACAAATTCAGTAGGAGTGCACCGATTGCAGTTTTCTGTCTGATCACCTATCTTTAAAAAGTCTGGCCTGCTGATTCTGATATTGGACAATATCGATTTTTTTAATAACTGACACTGTCAGGCGTTATAACGTCAGAATACAGCTTCAATGTGCCARTCTTATTTTATTGAAAAACATTGAACAAAAGCCTTGAAACAATACAAAAACGTTTTAACTGGACATTAGGTAGTGCTCACAGCAGAGCAGAAGGGAACAGTGGCTGATTTTCACCTTTGTGGAGGAAGMTGAGAAGCCGATCTTTTCCAACGATCTATCTCAGAATYGGTCGATCTCTGATCTCCCAAAATTAAGAAAATCAGTGCCCTAAAATTCAGTAAACATAATCACTTTCTCTAAGATAAAAAGATTGTTATTTTCTTCTTYGGTTGGTGAACAAGACAAAAGACGTACATCTCTTTCCTGTCTTTTCAGCCCATGAAGTGTGTGTAGCTTCTAGAATTTATAGAAAACCCAAATAAAGCAAGCAAGACATGTAGCTAATGAAGAACAGACCTCCCAAAACCTCAACTTTACTTTTCCTCTCAATACAGGCAGTCATTTCAAAAATACAACTATAATTTGGTGAATATTTGTTTTATAAGCACTCATTTTTGTTCAGGTTTAGAGAGCTCCTCTTCCTTTTAGTCCAAATCTAATCATGACCTGGCTAGAGCAGAATTAAAGGGGAGTGTTTGAGGTGAAAGAATTGAAAAAATGTAATGAAATGAATTTTGTGACAAAATCTGTTAACGGAAAAATTACTGGTAATATTATCAAGTAAAAAACATTGGACTTGTGTGTTTGTGAGTACTTGTAGCAGTGTGTGTTTTTGTCCTGAAGCAGTAGGAAAAAACTTTGTGTTTCACTCCAGTATGTCCTACAAACMAAAAATAGCTATTGTCCAAGATTTATTTATAGTTGTGTATAAGCTCCACACATTACACTCACTCACCCTCACACAGCTCCCCAGGTTGAGGTGTCTCAACTCTGTGCAGAAAGTCAGGATGCTCAGGATGGCTGTTTGCTGTAGAGAGAACGACCAGAAAGTCAAGAAAAGAACAATTTGTGCTTAAAAACAACAGGGGTGTAAAAGTGGGAACAGCAAATCTGAAGACAGGTTGCTTTATTTAAACATAATCCATRGCCAAGACAAGTTTTCAGCAAGGATTATCAGTTGGATAACGCTGAGTATTAAGGGAGATTTAATAATACACAACAGATCATTTCCACGTTTTATGAGTGAAGCAAAGTGTGGACAGTAACCTCTCCWGTGGCACAGCAACTAGGATGAAAAGATGAGAATTCAACACTGTAATTGCCAACACGTGTACATCTGCAGCAGAAGAAAGTGTCAGAGATGAAAGTGAAAGCTGTGTGTGTGTAGGTATGTGTGTGTGTGTGCTGAACTCAGCCTGGCATCTTCATAAACGCCTCTCTCCGGTGAGCTAGTCATTTAATTAGAGCACTGACAGGGTAATGACAGCTGAGATGTCAGGAGCTTCAGCTCACACTGTCTGTCCTGGTGTAAACAACCTGCAGTAAGCTGCCTGGTTCCACTGCAGAAACTCTACACCGTCTATTGCCCACAATGCTGCCCTGAAACACCACAAACTCTGCAAAGATGCTGAAGTGCAGCATCACAACATCACACAGTGGTTTAATGCAGCAGACACACCTGAACCCAAACATGTGTGTTAAAGTCCTCTGGACTCAGAGCTGACCCAGGCTACTTAAAAGACAGCAAAAAGCTTAAACAAATACACTGCCTGGCCAAAAAAAAAAAAAGGTCACATGAATATTTGGTTGGACTACCTTTAGCTTTGATTACAACACACATTTTCTGTGGCATTGTTTGAATAAACTTCTGCAATGTCACAAGATTTGTTTCCATCCAGTGTTGCATTAATTTTTCACCAAGATCTTGCATTGATGATGGTAGAGTCTGACCGCTGCACAAAGCCTTCTCCAGCACATCCCAAAGATTCTCACTGGACTCTGTGGAGCCAGTCCATGTGTGAAAATGATGTCTCATGCTCCCTGAACCACTCTTTCACAATAAGAGCCCCATGAATTCTGACATTGTCATCTTGGAATATGGCCGTGCCATCAGGGAACAATCCATTGATGGAATAACCTGGTCATTCAGTATATTCAGGTAGTCAGCTGACCTCATTATTTGAGCTCAGACTGTTGCTGAACCTAGACCTGGACACCTGCAGCAACCCCACATCATAGCACTGCCCCCACAGGCTTGTACAGTAGGCACTATGATCACCATCACTTCACCTGCCTCTCTTCTTACCCTGATGCCTCCATCACTCTGGAACAGTCAGTCTGGACTCCTCAGACCACAGGACCTCCTTCCATTGCTCCAGAGTTCAATCTTAATGCTCCCTGGCAAATTGAAGCCTCACTGATAGTGTTTTAAGGCTTCACAGCTGTTTGTTCCCATCCCTTGAGTTCCCTTCACATTGTGTGTGGAAATGCTCTTACTTTCTCTATTAAACATAGCCCTGAGTTCTGCTGTTGTTCTTGGATTTCACCAAATGTTTAAGTGATCACAAATCAGATCATTCAAATACAAATCAGTCAGTTATCTTTCAGCAGACTGAAGAGACCGTCATTAAAAACGTTCCACTCTCAGATTAAATACAAAGCAAAACATCTGGTAGTGCCATATATGTTGTTGATTATTTATACAGCAGTCATCAAACTTCATGAACTCTTTATGGCAAAGTTAAATTTTAGTACTTCATAATTATTCAAAAATTCTGATAAAAAAAAAACAAAAAAAATGTTTATGAGAAACATTTTATAAAAGATAATCCTGGGTTGCAAAAGAATGTATTTTGTGGACTTACAACCTGGAATTAAGTATTTTTTTAATGTGATTATTAGGGGTGTCCCGATCCGATATCAATATCGGATATCGGTCCGATATCAGCCAAAAAACGAGTATCGGATTTTATCGGACTGCATAAAAAATGTC